ATAATATTTTGCTATTTGATGTTGATTATCATTTATGTGTTTATTCATGAAATTCAACCACTTTTTAAATGTTTCTCAGAAAAACATGTTATTAACAAATATGTAATTATTGTTAACGTATTTCTGTAATGGTTTTTTATAAGGATACATGAAGCCCTAAAAGCAGACTCATGCTAGATTTTGCTCTTAAGTGTATTCATTTATAGAGCAACATTTATTAAATGCTTCCTGTGCATTATGTACCAGATTCTATTCTAGACACAGGACTAGTACAGTGAACAGCATGACCATAACCATTATTCTCAAGTTCTGATACTGGAAAATTTACTATTATTATGATAATTTAATAAAAAGTTAAGATAACCCCTATATATAATTAAATCTTTAAGGTAATGAACAGTCTATGAACCAAACCAAAATTATTTGTTCCTTGCATTGTATCTTTAATACCACGTACCAATTTTACTACTTCATTATATATTATCTTCCTGACTTTTTCACTTCAGTGCAGTATTTTGGGGCTATCCCACAGTGACATAATAGGATCTTTAGAGAAAGGAGGAAATAGAAATAATAAAATAATTGTAAAAACCAAAAGCTATCATTTAAAAACCATAAAAGTCATTTCAAGTGACTTCAAAAATATGTGATTTCTGGCTATTAATTAGAGTTGAGTGTCAGAAAGTGGAACACTAGTTTTATGCACTGCACACAGTTGAGTGAAGAGCTCTGAGCTGCTTAGTACCTCCATTCTCTAAACCAAGCATCGCAGATGAATTGTAATGTTGGAAAGATATCCCTGAACCATAAAGAATGGCTTGTAGGCGATTTGTAAAGAGACTGACACCTCTGAATCAATTCAATTATGTTGGATTATTTTTTAAAGTATATCCCACCTACATGGCAGAGCCTGGCATGATACCCGTGGTGTACTCAACATGCCAAAAAGCAGTAATAATAACAGGTCTCATTCCCCTAACCCTCAAAGAGCCTCCAATACAGCAGCATTGGGAAAGATGAGTAAGGAGAGGCTGCTAAAATCTCAGGGCTGGGATGAATGAAGACGTTAACTGGTGCCACTCGAGTAAATCGATGAACAACGGATGGCAGTGATACAGTGAATGATAATTTATTGTCATTTTGTCCCATTTCATCACTACTACCAAGAACTTCCCTTGTAATCAAGGACCTGATTTGGTGCTCAGAATGTAGCAGATGCACAGTGAAAAATTTTGGTGGTTAGATAAAATGGCACTCCATAAGAGAAATGTTCTGCTGATATTAGTGTTTCTTTTCTTTTTCTTTTTTTTTTTTTACTTCTCCAGCTCCAAGGTTGCAATCTTTATATATTTATTTTTTAATGAATCACCGTGAGATACAGTTACAGACTTACAAACTGTCATGATTATGTTTCAATCATACAATCATCGAGTACCCATCCCTCCACCAGTGCCTATTCTCTACCACCAATGTTCCCAGTACCCCTCCTGCCATGCCCCCAATCCCCTTCCCCCCACCCACCGACACACACACCTCTGTGGCAAGCTCATTCCTTTTTATTCTCTCTTCTTTTGGGTATTATGATTTGCAATACAGGTCATAAGTGGCCATCATATTTGGTCCATAGTCTACTTTCACCACACTGATATTAGTGTTTTCTTAGTCTTTCTGCGAAGTGCTACCACATCGATGTATTTTAGATATAAATGTATCATTGAATTGGATGATTTTCTAAAATAACAAAGCTGAATTACACCTGTTGATATCACTATGGAAATCTGTGCCTCAACATAGGTTTTGGTTGCTCACTGTTTTGTGGAATTACTTATATGCCTTTATCCTATTTCTTGACTTTTGTGCTTTTCGTATTTATCTTATTCATTTCCTATTTCATATCCTGTTGCTACTTTTTGTGAGCCTTCGCTGAAATTCTTTCCCTGGAAATGAGTCAGTTTTTAATTTCTGTAACCAGAATTAATATTCTGAGGAAGATAATTTACCATTGGAAAAAATGGTTTGGTAGCTCCATTTCTAATGCATTCTTTTTTGTCAACCACCTGAGGAGAATATTTACATATTTTCCATTTAAAGATGCTCTTTAAACATCATATGAGACAAATATCCAAAGATATTAGTAACAAGGGCAGGAATATTGGTTCACCATTGGAAGGCTGCCTCAAGTGCTGCAGGGAGATGACACTTGAGATAGAGAAGGGACCACCATGACAATCACAATCACGATCACGATCATCCTGTTGTTCGTCGATTGCCTTGAGCAGGCCCCAGTAATGTCTCCTTTGTCCTAGCCCTGAGATTTTAAAAAGTGCCAAATTCAAGGTTCTTTCAGGGTTAGGAGAATGAGACCCATTATTGTTATGGGTATTTGGCATATTGGGTACGCCACAGGGAGTTTGCCAGACTCTGCCGTGTGGGCAAGTTGCATTCGGTAGCCTGCCAGGTTTTCCAAAGTAAGAATGAGATAATAAGATGTCGCTTCTGGGAACTGGGTTTTGTAGTTTCTGGGTCTTGGCCATTGAAGGAATTACACGGCGCCAGGGGGTCAGTTGGTGGTTGTGACCCCTGCCTACTGGAAGATGGAGGATCTGGGTGGAGGATGCTCAGCCCCAATCCGAACAGGCTTGGAGATCTCAGCCCCAGGACACGCATGTCTTTGTTCCTCTGCCGATACCTTCATGCATGTGGAGAGTGGTCTCAGCATGGTTGTGACTGGTTCTGGAGGTCTTTGACTGCCAGAACTCTGCTCGGTGCGGGGAGGGAAACTCAAATATGACAATGATAGTTCAAAATGATCACTCTGGATAAGAACTACATGCTGAAAGTAGGTAAAGGAACAAACATGACAGCCTCTCAATACCTTAATTGAAAACCATAATACTCAAAGGAAGAGAGAGAGAAAAAAAGGAAAAGTGCCTACCATAAAGGTAGGCTGTGGTGAGGGTGGGGTGGCAAGAGGGAAACTGGGGTTGTTGATGGTGGGAAATGTACACTGGTGGAGGGATGGGTATTGGAACATTGTATGACTGAAACCCAGCCATGAACAGCTTTGTAATTGTGTATCTCACGGTAATTCAATTTAAAAAATGGCTTTCTTTTGGGGGAGGTGGGGAGAGAGACTTGGGCCACACCCAGAGTGCTCAGCACTGACTCTTGCCTCTGTGCTCAGGGATCACTCCTTGTGCACTCGGAGGACCATGTGGGATGCCCAGGATGGAACATGGGTTGGCTGTGTGCAAGGCAAGCACCCTACCCACTGTCCTATCACTCTGACCCAAATGCTAAAATCTTTTAAGACAATTTTAACTATAACAAATATCTTATAGCAATTATTTTCCTTGGTTTCTTTATAAGTGCTTTGTACTTCATATTCTTAGAAGCAGTTTGGATATTATTATTACTATACTTAAGCACATATGTCACAAATTTAAATGGCCTCCTATGGATGTAGTTCTTTATATAAGAAATGCTCATATATCTTATTTTAGAATGCCTTTTGTGTTGCCATTTCCTTGCATTGAAACAGGAATAACTGAGAAGCTCATCTTAGATTCCCTTCATACGCGGATTATATCTTTCCCTTGCTTTTGTTTGGCCAAAGTCCTAAAAATGATTGTTTTGTGTATTTTGTTTGTTTTTTCTAGTTGTTTAAGATCAAAGAGAAATATTATTCCTCTTCATCCATTTTTCACTAGAAGTATAAATTCTATTACATGTTCTGAAAGGTTTGTATAACAGATTATTTTTAAAAGGAGTTCAGTTCCTTAATGGTTTAGCTTTAGCTCTCTGAAAAAAAAGTTGATCATCATGTTATTATGATATAATATACATTTAGCACAGCGGGTAGGGCGTTTGTCTTACAAGCGGCCAACATGGCCGACCCGAGTTCGATTCCTCCGCCCCTCTCGGAGAGCCCGGCAAGCTACCGAGAGTATTCGATTTGCCAGACACAGTAACAACAAAGTCTCCAATGGAGACGTTACTGGGCCTGCTCGAGGGCCTCGAGCAAATGCCATATATTGTGGCAGAAATGTTATTCCTGTTAATTCAGTTATCCTTTTACCTAGCACTATGAGCTAAGTGCTTTTGTTATTTAGTATCCAAATATGGGACAACTGAGGCACTAATAAATTAATGTTTCACCAATTAAATTCATCTAGTAAATGGAGTGTTGGATCTCAAATCAAAATATTCTCTATTCTGATGCCTCATTACTAATACACTGTTTACTTTGTTCATGGTAAAGTTACCATGGTATGAATCAGTAAGCCTCATAGAAATAGAGAACAATTTTGACAAGTTTATTGAAGTTTCACCTCTCAAAATTAATTTCTTATCCACACGAAGTTCTAAAATTAGATGACATTCTATTCTTTGAGTAGTTTATAGTAATTTATAGGCATGCAATTTTCCTAAAGAAGACTATAGAGAAAAACAGATATCTTCAGTTTCCTCAATAGAGTTAGAATTTGATGGGGATAGATTTCTTTAACTCAGATATGATCATTATTAGATAAACAATACTTTCATTTTTAGATAGATACATTTATTATGTAATAAGGTCTTATATGAAACTCTTATTGTACATTCTTTATTGAAATCACTTTTATTCTTCAGCATTTTGTTGAAATACTATGATTTAAATTACTGTTGATTATACCTTTTATGCATACATCGTTCTAACACCACAGTGTGTACATTTTCTTCAAGCAGTGTCCCAAGGCCCCAACCAGCCTCCCCATCTTATCTTTAATCCTTCATTTTATAAAAGTTTTTTCAAACTATTTTATTTTATAGCTATGCAGAGGTCATGACTGGCAGCTGAGGATATTGTGTTAGATAAGGTTTTCCTTTCAGCATATATGGTAAATTATATGATGATCCAAATGTCTAGATGATGAAAAATTACAAATGCCTTTACATCACCACAGGCGTTAGCGAAGAACAGACTCAGTATGTTTAAAACTTTCTCTTTGATTTTTCAGATTGCATTCTCCCAACACAATACAATTATGGATCTTGTGCAGTTTTTTGTCACCTTCTTCAGGTAATTTGCTTTTCCTGACTATGAATCTATTAGACCTATATTGCATGTATATTCTTTCCAGGAAGTAATTTTTATTATTTCTCTAGTGCGCCTTGAATAGCTTGATATGCTCACATTTACATCTAAGTTTCAGAGCAGAGGAAGTATCCTTGAAATAGACCTGTGCAGTATTAGTTCACTATTATTGAGTGGATTTCGTGAAAAAAAAAAAAAAAGATGATGACTCCGTATTCTACTATTACATAAGGAATTAAAGGCAGCTTTAGTTAATGAGATGAATAGTTGCATAGTGAAATCACCATATTGGTTCTGCACATCTAGCATTAAATTAATTCAATTATTTTTCAAGTAATTATCATAAGTACACAGCAATGTTATTAAAATCTGTATAGAGTGTTAAAATATGCATATGTTCCATTCTTAAGGAACTTACTACCTGGAATATGGTATAGAATAGAACATTATTTCCTAGAATCTTAGTTATTCATAACATTAAGTATAAGTTGATGAAATGGGCTTCTGTAGTTTAGGGAAATTCTATATATATTTTGTTTTCTGTGATTGACTTAACATAGCCGTTATTTTTTTTCTTGAATTTTTATTTTGATGACTTACAATCTGTCTTTCTCAAAGAGGTCGAGTTTATAGTTTTTCTCAAAATGTGAAATTTCTTCATGGGATATATCTCTTTTCATATCCTTGGGATATTAGTAATCTTTAGGAGAAGAGGGAAACTGAGTAACTGTACTATGGCATTTCATATTTGGATTGAAAGGGATTTTGTTTCTTTTGACATGATCACATCGTGTGAAGCTTCTACTTATCTGTTGGTGTCTTTGTGGAAATGAGGCAAATGTGTCTCCTCTTTCTGACTGTTGTAGCCTCACTCCTAGCACAGTGCTTTAAAACAGTGCCTTATAAATTTTGACCTCTACTTTCTTAGTTGACTCTCCTGCCTTCTTGTCCTGTAAGAACTTGTACCATCCAGTCCTTACAGATGATATACAAGGCATTTTCTTAAACACCAACATAATCCTTATTGGCTACCATGTGCACGCATGTAGACAATTGCATTCCTAATATGTTCTCCACGGGGGTTAGCAGGCATTTTTTGTAAAGGGCCAAACTGTGAGTATTTCTGAATTTGTGCACTACCAGTCACTATTGCATCTGCTCCACTCAGCTGCTGTGTTGCTCAAGCAGCCACGGTCAAGATGGAAACAAATGGGGGAGGCTATGTTCCAATAAACCTTTATGATCAAAACAGCTGGTGGGCTGGCTTCTGCCTGTGGACGCAATTTGTCCAACCCTTCATCTTGCTTATGCTTCAATGCCTTTAATGACGGGAAACACACCATCTCCCAGAGATAGTAGTTTTTATCTTCAAGTAACTAATTGTTCTTCGTAATTGAATGGAAATCTGTCTCCCTGTTGCATTTATTTTAATTTATTTACGGAGTCTGTACTGAAGAAGTCTAATCTCTCATATCCAACAATAGCACTTCTGCTTCTACCTTCTTTTCTTCAACGTATATTTTTATCTACTCTCTTTTCAAAATCTTGGCCATGTTGATCACTTTGCTCTGCACAGAGTCCTATTTATCTATGTCTTTAAAAGAGTGGTAATTCACAGGTTGTTCACTCCATGGCTTAGAGGCCAGCCGCATACTCTAAGGGTAAAGGCAGCTCAGATAGAGAAGGGAGCACCAAATAAAGGGTGCTGGGAAGATCTGCCCACGATGGGAGATGCCTGCTGAAAGTAGTCTATGGACCGAACATGATTGCCACCCAATGTCTCTTCTGCAGACCACAGCACCCAAAAGGAGAGATAGAACAAAAGGGAGTGCCCTGCCACAGAGGCAGAGTGGGATGGGGGATGGGGGGGTGGGAGGGATACTGGGATTGGTGGGGGTGGAGAATGGGCACTGGTGGTGGGATGGGTACTCGATCATTGTATAACTGAAACCCAAGCACAACAACTTGTAAGTCTACAACTGTACCTTATGGTGTTTCACTAATAAAACAAAAACAAAAACAAAAACAAAAACAAAACAAAAAAAAGGAGTGGTAATTCACAGGATTTAATGCTATACAAATCTTTAACACTAATGCATGCAAATTTTATTCATACTTTAAGTTTTCCCTTAAAAATAAAATTTGAGAGGGCCGGAGAAATAGTCCTCAGGTTAAGGTGTTTCCCTGGCATGTGGCTGACACAAGAACAGTCCCCACACGGTATATGGGTCCCAAGCACTGCCAGGAGTAATTCTCGAGTGAACCAGCACTGGAAGTAAACCCTGAGCACTGCTGGGTGTGGCCCAACCCTCCACACTAACAAAGTAAAATGAGTTAAGAACTTGAAATTTGAGAAAATGTCATCAGTGTATTTAACATTTTACATTTTTGTACTTACGATTATAAGTCAATTTCAAGATCTGAATCAGGTTATAGAATGCTTTGGGAAAGTGTGAGTTAAATCAAGTGAGCATTATTTAATGGATCAAGATGAAATATTGTTGAGGCAGAACAATGTGGGTGAAATATTCGAAAAAATTTAGTTCTGTGTGAAAATTCACAAAACCGAATGTTATGTAAATTATTTAAATGTTTAGTTTTTTTTCTTTAAAGGTTTGGAATTTGCATATTTAAGTTTAGTACCTCTTTCAGGAAGTGAAAGAAAGCTGGTGCTAATGTGCTTCATGTCTTAGAGATGATCCCATTTATTATGTTGTCATTGTGGACAAAGTGAACCAAGTGAAATAAAATATTCTGATCATTTAGTGTAATAAAATTTATTCTGTGGGTTTTTGTCATTTAAATTTATCCCGGTAGTGAAATGTAAATGAAATAGTTTTAAATTGTTTCCTTGTTAAGACAAATCGTGTGCAGAATATTTTTAAGTTACTGTTTGTTTTCTTTTTAAATAGCACTGCTGATAAATTTTCAAGTGGGGCTTTAAATAGATCAGCTTTTATGGATGTCACTTATTCATGCCACTATTACTGCTATTGCTGTTTTCTTCTTTCTTGATTTTATTTATTCTTTTATTTACTGGGGTAGTTATGATTTAAAAAATATGTATAGATGTCAGTGTTTTAGGTGTTACAGTCTTTCCACAGCAAGGCCGCCACTGAAGTGCTTATGCCCACCCCTGTCGACAGGACCCTTCCCACGGGGACAGCCTGTTCCTCGGCAGCCAGCTCTCTCAGGAGAATCTAAAGGGTTTCTTTACTTTCTTTCCTTTGGGCATCCCCTTGCTTTGTTCCTTTAGTTCCTTTATCTGACTGAAATCATCTGATATTAGTCTTTCTTCTATTTTTTTTCTTTTTGCTTTTTGGGTCTCACCCAGCAATGCTCAGGGGTCATTCCTGGCTTTGCACTCAGGAATTAGTCCTGGCGGTGCGTGGGGGACCATGTGGAATTCCAGGGATTGAACCCAGATCAGTCGCATGCAAGGCAAATGCCCTACCCACTGTACTATTGCTCCAGCCCCTCTTCTGACTATTTTATGTAACACCATCCTCTCTAGTTCCATAGATGTTGTAGTGAAAGACATCTCTCTTTTCTTTTCTTTTCTTTTCTTTTCTTTTCTTTTCTTTTCTTTTCTTTTCTTTTCTTTCTTCTTTTCTTCTTTTCTTTTCTTTTCTCTTCATTTCTTTCTTTTTCTTTCCTTTTCTTTCATTTTCTTTCCTTTCCTTTCCCTTCCCTTCCCTTCCCTTCCCTTCCCTTCCCTTCCCTTCCCTTCCCTTCCCTTCCCTTCCCTTCCCTTCCCTTCCCTTCCCTTCCCTTCCCTTCCCTTCCCTTCTCCTCCCCTCCTCTCCTTCCCCTCCCCTGCCCTCTCCTCCTCACCTCTTCTCCTCTCCTTTTCTCTTCTCTCTTTTTTTTGGTCACACCCAGTGGTCTTCAAAAGCATCTGCTTCTGGCTCTCTGCCCAGGGATCACTCCTGGCAGGGCTGTGGGAACTGTATGTTACATTCGAGGATTTGAACCCAGGTTGCAGTGACCAGAGCTCCCTGCCAGGCAAGTGCCTTAAACTTTGTACTCTCTCTCTCTCCAGCCCTTCCTGCACCAATTTCATTTCCTGTTGGGCATCTGGGTTGTTTCCGGAACTTGGCAATTGCCAATAGCTCTATAGTGAATTTAGGTGGACATATCTACATATATTTTTCAAATTCATCTTTGTGTTGTTAGAAGAGATGCCTGGGCGTGGAATTGCTAGATCTTTTGGTCGATCTACTTTTAAATCTCCAAGATGCGTCTATACTGGTTTTCCATTCAGGCTAAGCCAGTTTGCCCTTCCACCAAGAATGAACAAGGGTCCTTCTGCAGGAAATTCCCCCCAGCTTGGGTTTGTGCGGCCCTCTCTGATCAGGGCCAGCATTTCTCATCGGTGCCAGCCGCTATTGCTATTGCTACCTCACTACTGGGAGAGCAAAGGTGAATGTGTCAGCTTTTCAGTTTAGTGCGGTTCTGTGGGGAGGCCAGTTCACAAACTCTGCGTCAGTGTTTTACTTCCATACTGGGCCTAGTCTGGAGAGAAACATAATTAGGTCAGGACAAGGGAGATCACTTATAGACCGATCCTGGCCCTGCTCTTCGCTTTCCTTGCCATTTATGTAAGTTGCCTTAACTTCTCCAAGTTTGATGTTGTTGTTGGAGTCTGCGGTTTCATATTGTAAATGATTGGAACAACTCAAAGAAGTTATTTCATTAAATTTTTATTGAGGTACTATTGATTTCCAAGACTATGTCTTTTGGGTGTAACTTCGCATCTCTCTTTTTTTTTATTTTGCTTTTTGGGTTACACCCGGCGATGCACAGGGGGTAACTCCTGGCTCTGCACTCAGGAATGACTCCTGGCGGTGCTCAGGGGACCATATGGGATGCTGGGAATCAAAGCCGGCTCGTACGCGTGCAAGGCAAACGCCCTACCCGCTGCGCTATTGCTCCATCCCCTTCACATGTCTTTTGAACATACAATGCCATATCTACCATCAGTG